ATTCTTGTTCCACCTCGACTTGCCAAAAATGGATAAACCATCCCAATATTTGATTATACACGTATTGATGGCAGTTAAATTATGTATGGCAAGAAAGTGGAAGCAGAATACACCTCCTTCTATAACGGAGATTAAATCCCAGATCCAATACCAAGGCCAAATGGAAAAAGCTGTTTACTTCAATGATAATAATATTGGTTCTTATAATAAAATATGGACAAAATGGTCCAATTATTATAAAGAATGAGTTATCTATAGTGATGTCCCGAACGTTTCGCTGGCGAATAGTTCCTGGCGAACATCGCTTGTTCGCGTTCGCCACGGATGGCGAACATATGCGCTGTTCAGTCCTCCCCCTATTCGTCATCATTGAGTAAACTTTGACCCTGTACCTCACAGTCAGCAGACACATTCCAGCCAATCAGCAGCAGACCCTCCCTCCCAGACCCTCCACCTCCTGGACAGCATCCATTTTACATTCATTGTGAAGCTGCATTCTTAGTGAGAGGAGGGACAGTGTAGCTGCTGCTGATTTGATAGGGAAATTGATAGCTAGGCTAGTGTAGTCAGTGTCCACTACAGTCCTGAAGTACTCATCTGATCTCTGCTGTAAGGACAGAACCCCAAAAAGCCCTTTTTAGGGCTAGAACATCAGTCTGCTTTTTTTTTTTTCTGTGTAATGTAATTGCAGTTGCCTGCCTGCCAGCCTGTGTGTCAGGCTCACAGCATATACTGTGCCCACTTGGCCAGTGCCACCACTCACTCACTGGTGTCACAATAGCTTGCATTTGAAAAAAACTAAACTTTTTTGACTGTAATATAATAGCAGTCAGTTTCCTTCACTAGTGTGCGTTTCAGGGCCTGCCCAGTGCCACCACTCACTCACTGGTGTCCCAATAGCTTGCATTTAAAAAAAACAAACAAAACTTTTTGGACTGTAATATAATAGCAGTCACAGGGCTGTCTATAATATGATTAGGACCCTAGGCAATGCATTTTCTTGGGCCCCCTGGGCCCTGCTCCTTCCCCCCCAACCCCCTAATTACACCCAACCGCAATCACACTGACAGACATACTGACACATACGCACACAGACAGACATATTAAAACATTCTCAGATACATACTGACATACACATACACTGACACACAAATATATACTGGCAGACATATTGACACACATTCAGACATACTGACACACACACAGACACACATTCATGAATACACAGACACATAAACTGACAAATATACTGACACACACAGACGCATACACTGACAGACCTATTGACACACGCACACAGGCATTCTGACACAGACACACAGGCAGACATACTGACAAACACACAGACATACTGACACACAGACAGACAGACATACTGACACACACAGACATACTGACACACACACAGACATACTGACAAACACACACACAGGCATACTGACAAACACACACAGGCATACTGACATATACAGACACACACAGACATACACACAGACATACTGACACACACACACAGACATACACATACATACAGACATACACACACACACACACACAGAGACATACACACACACACAGACAGACATAGACACACACACAGACTTAGTGACACACAGACATACTGACAAACACACAGACATACTGACATACAGACAGACATACTGACACACACACAGACTCACACACAGACATACTGACACACACACAGACATACTGACAAACACACACACAGGCATACTGACATATACAGACACACACAGACATACACACAGACATACTGACACACACACACAGACATACACATACATACACAGACATACTGACATACACACACAGACATACACATATATACACAGACATACTGACATACACACACACACATAGAGACATACACACACACACAGACATAGACACACAGAGACATACTGACTCTCACAGACATACATACACACATACTGACACACACACACAGACATACTGACATGCACACAGACAGACAGGCACACACACACAGACATACATTTAG